CCCTAGACCCTAGACCCTAGACCCTAGACCCTAGACCCTAGACCCTAGACCCTAAACCCTAAACCCTCCTAAGCCCTAAGCCCTAAACCCTAAACCCTAAACCCTAAAGTACTGCACTGCTGTTAGTGGTATGTGTGCATTAGTCACTCATTAATCGGCGTCCATGTTCATAGCTGCATGTTTGGCTGGTGTGAGTGATCGTTGGCATGGCACTCGGCAGGGTGTGTCCACTGCGTGTGCACTCGTGTGCTGTGGTGAGTCAGCGATGAAATATCTATTGAGAATTGACCGACTGACTGATTATGGTAATCGCCAATTCAAGCCTACCCAACTCACTACGCACCCACCAATGTGTGTGTGTGTGTGTGTGTGTGTGTGGTTTTCTCTCCCGACTAAACCCCACTCGCGGTTTCTATTTCTTCTGCTGTCGAGACCACAGACCGAGAAGCTGTCAGGCGATAGAGTGCAACTCTTAAAAGACCACACACTATACACTCCACGATGCCTTCACCCTCTTAAACGCACACCCAACCACACACATGATGCATATGTGTGTATCTATTTGGTCTCTCGCGACTTAGCGTTGACACTGATGAGTGCGTTGATCGGCTGATGTGTTCTCCACCTGCCGACAATCACAGATAAAAATTGCCTGAAGGGATGGTGTGAGTCTCAATAGAGCACCACACAGACGTCCACACAAATTATGATAAGGGCAGTAAGACAGCAATGTGCGACAATGCCACAGCATTCTTATCAGTCAATCGCAGTCATAGAATACAAAGCCATCTCAACCAACCATCAGATGCCTGTGGAATAAAAGCTTTCAAACTCGGCACGCAGGCATAGAAAAGCCTCCGGCCCACAGGCAGAAACAGCCAGAAACGCGACGCAGGCAACGAAAACAGACACAAAGCGGATGAAGTGAGTGTGTCAGAGTGTGCTGTCTTTGGTTGAGCGAAACGTCCACCAGTCTGTCTATCGTACACAGACACACCGCACACACTCGTGTGTGTGCATCCAGGGTGAAGAGAGCATACACATAGCGACATTACCAGAAATCCCCCCTCCTCCCCTTGCGACTCACGACAGATATCAATCAATCATAGAGGGCGATCAGCGAGTAATTCACCACACACTCGGACAGACGCGGTGAGTGGCGGACCGACCGATAAAACGAAATCAGCCACACCAGACAGACAGACAGCCAGCTAGACAGACAGACAGACAGACATACCGACAGACATACAGATAGATGGTGGGGGAGAGAGCCGACACGCATACACACATCAACGGCCTGATAAAGATCCACACCCTTGCCGGCCAACAAGCATGCTGGACCGCTCCTCAGCTAGTCACTCATTCAGGTATCACGCATCACATATCAGTTACCCCCGCCGCACACCACACAGAGAGATATCACGGCCCGCTGGATTGGAAGCATGCATTTACAGTGGGTGTCGGTACACAATCACGCACTCACCCACCGTAAGTGGTTGTTTGTGTAGGTACCGTTCTCGCCGGCGCGGGAGAGCGTACACCTGGGCAAGGTCTCTGTAAGCTGCACCCAATCATACGCACACGCATATACAGACAGATACACACATACATGTACACATAGCCCAGAAGTGTGGGCAGAGAGACAGGCCGGCAGACATACTGGATAAGTGGACCGTTTCGCCTGCACAAACACACACATCCATCCATCCATCCACAGTGTATGTGTGTGGGTGTAGGCTGACCGTTCGGTGTACTCGACGTGGCCGTTTGGCGTGTGAGCGTGAGAATGTGAGTGTGAGTGAGAGTGCTGCCGATGGTGCTGCCGCTCACGGTCGTCGCGATCTCGATCTCGCTCTCGCTCGCTGCTCGACCGCCTGCATCACGCACACCACACCACACACAGCGGGCGGGAGGTTGAGTCACGGCACACACGTGTTCGGTTCAGTGCGCACCTGCTTGGCCCGCTGGAATGGGAGTAGCCATCCCTGTGTGAGTGGGGGGACACACAGATGTCCTGGTAAGTGGGTGTTTGTGTGGTTGTTTGTGTGGGTGTTTGTGTAGGTACCGTTCTCGCCGCCGCGCGCGAGCGTACACCTGGGCAAGGTCCGTGTACCCTACAATCACACACACACACATACAGATGCATCCCCCTTCCCGCAAGTGAGTGCACAGAGAGAGGCAGACATACCGGACAAGTGGACTGGCGGCATTGAGTCTTCCGGCACAGCAGCGATGGGCGGATCTGTGCGCCGCACACACACCACACCCCAGAGGGACGGAGTCGCAATGCGTGTGGGATGGTGTGCTGTGGTGTGCTCATTCGCTCTTTACCGTAGATCTCCAGCCGCATGCGCTTGACAATCGGCCCGCCACTGCACACACACACACAGATGGACGGGTGGACGGACGCACACACGCGTGTGTGGGGAAGGGAGAATGGACGCGACAAGACGTACCCATAGCGTGCGAGCCAGAATCGCCAGATAGACGAATTGACGCCTCTGCACAAACACAAACCGTACGGAGACCGTTGTATATTTGTTAGTGAGAGAGTGTGAGAGAGCCTGTGTGTGAGTACCGGTAGTCGGCTGAGCACTGCAGCCCGTTGCGCAGATTCCCCTGCGCGTCAAAAAACACACCATTTGCTATCGGGCCGGGCAGGGGGCCGCTGCACACACGCACACGCACACGCACACGCACACGCACATGCACACGCACACAAAGAGAGAGAGAGAGAGAGAGAGAGACGTGCACACATTCAGTTGTTTGTTTGTTTGTTTGTTTTGTGCCTGCACGGATTCTCTCCACCTGTTCTGTGCCTGAGGCGTGAACACACTTGGCTGTCTGTCTGTCTGTCTGTCTGTCAGGCCCCTACCTCTTTTGGACGAATTTCTTCCACGAGGCGATCCACTGGGCGTTGACCAAATAATAACACCCCTATAATCACATACACACACACTCACACGAACATGCATAGTGTGCACTGTGTCCATATATGGGCGTAGAGATACATTCTCGTCAACATAGGTGGTGTCGTTTTCCTTGATGAACCGAATCTCGTCACTCGCACGGTACAGCAGCTCCTGATTGATTGATGACACCCCACCACACACACAGACAGACAAGAAGCGCACACATGGATCAACAGGGAATGGAACGGGTGCAGACAACGTACCTCTTCTGAGCAGGTGCTGTTGTTATCGACGGCTGGCGGTGTCGGCACGGTCGGGGGGGTGGGGGGCAGCTGATGATTGGAGGCATACACACACACACACACACACACACACGTGTTCGCGGAGGGACAGAGATACACACAAATGCACAAATGCACGGTGTGCAGAAATATTGATGTGTGGATACAGTGTGCCGACCCGGCGGAGATTAGCACCACCCCCATTGGCGAGACTGCAAATCGCACACACATATACACACATATAGAGCAGGGACAAAGCCAATGACGATCCATCGTCGAAGTGGATAAGATAGGGGTGTGCTGCTGACGTCTGGTTGTTCGGCGGGTCTGTGGCGTTGCTGTCATCTTGCCTGTCGGCATTGATTTCGTTCGACAGGCGCAGCGCAAAGGCATAGTCGTCCGCCTCCTGCCGCTGGCGAGCCGTGAGGGGTGCTTCTTGGCGACTCGGGGGTGTCGTTATGCTTGCAGGTGCCGGTGCTGAAGGGGTGGCCGTCCGCAGCTGCTGCACGAGGTCACGAAGGTCGTAGTTGATGTGCACATCAGACTCAGAAGTCTCGCGCCTGAGTGACAGAAACGCACACACATACACATACGAGCACAAAACTATTAACATGGCTTGGCTTGCGTACCTGCAGGTTGGGCAGACGGCTATGCCACGACCGCCATTGCGAACGAGGCCCTGGACACACTGCAGACACACAGACGGACAGCGACCAGACACTCACGAGGCACTCATTCGGGACTGAATGCCGTCTGTCTGTGTCTGCGTGTACCGCCTCGCAGAAGGAGTAACCTGACAGATGGGTGGATGGACGAACATAGATCACGAGTGTTGTCAGTCCTCTCTTTCTCTGTTTGACTGCCTGTGTGTGTTTCCCACTCACCGCATCGCGATAGCACTTGAGGCTGTTCCTGGGCATTCTCATGATGGTACTCCTCAAAACACACGCCACACTGGGGAAGAGCCGCCATCACAGATCTGCTCCGCACACGACACACACACAAGAACAAGTGGTTGAAGCTTGATCCCATGCGCTTGTCGTTCGCTCACTTCCGCCAGCTCGGTCGGTCGTTCGGTTGGACGCCATGCAGGCTTTTCCTGCCGCTTTCCCTCCAAAGCTAAGCTCGCAGACGCAGCGATCCCTTCCCTTTTTCACCCTTTCTTTTTCTTTCGCTTCCCTGCCCACCTGTAGGCGCCAGGAGCGGCATGAATGGATCTGAGTTGCAATGGATGAAGTCGCTTCTCCCCTGCCGCATCGCGATGCGGGTGCCCCAGCCAATGCTGATGCTGCGGATGGATCTCCCTCCATGCCAAACGTGATAAATGGCGTTCATGGTGAGGGTGAGGGTGCACATGGTGCAGAACATGAGCATGAGTTAGATGAGGTCAACGGTGGTGATGGTGAGGGGCGGGTGTGTTTCGATTCGCTGCTGGCGCCTTTGGATGAGGTGAATGGCTTCTGCCGGTCGCCCGGTGAGCTGAAGAAGGTGCTGACGGCCCTCAGGGAATACTGCGCTCAGAAGGAAGGTGAAAAGAAGAAGAGAATATGCCCACGAATGCATCAGCCACGTTGTGTGTGCGTGTGTGTTTTATGAATATCCTCGGTCAGAAACTTGTCGGTTGTTACGCCGTCAGCACACAGAGGACAGGGAGGTCATCGACAGGCAGCAGCGGGACTTGGACGGGTGCGTGTGGGGGTGGGGCGTCGAGAGAGAGAGACACATCCACAGATAGGCACATGGATGCATGTGATCCATCTGTCTGTTACATACAGATTACCGGAGGAGTGTGAGGGCCTCCGCAGTGACAACTATCGCCTACAGAGACACCTGCTCGACTTACTTGGTGAGCGAAGGACGCAGACACGACATGAGGGGAACTGCATCATGTTGTTCCCCTTCGTTCCTTTCTGCCTTTAGGCAGGAAACCCTAAACCCTAAACCCCAATTCTCGCGAATATCCACCCCCCGACATCTCCCTCACCCCCCCAGCCGACCCTCCCGCCCCCAAATCCCCCTCCCCTCACCCAAATCCGAGCTGCAGCGACCAGCAGTCCCTCAGCCTCTCATTCAGCCACACACAGAGCAGCGACAACAACATGAACAACCCACCATCGCCCCCATGTCTCACACAGAGGGGAGACACAGAACACCCAGAGGCCCCCCATCCCCATCCTCGGCCAAATAGGAGGCGTGGAGAGCGAGAGCACGAATCACAGCACCATCCGTCGAAGGGCCGGCCACCTGCCACGTCGAGGCAGCCGGTGTATTCCAGCCGGTTTCAGCCGACTTCGCGCAGCTGTGGTCCGGTGGATGTGGTCGAGCAGCTGCGGCAGCGGATTGTGGAGAGAGTGGGGGCTGGGGTGGGGGTGGGCAGTGGTGGGGGAAGTGTGGGGATGCCTCCTGCTGATGCCAGTGCTGCTGCTGCTGCTGCTCGAGAGCGACCATTGGGTGGTGGGAGGAACAAGTACGAAAGGGACCATCCGTCCATCAATCCATCAATCCATCCATCCATGCATTTCCTGGTTCCCACTCTACTGTCAATCTGTGCAGGTCCAGCCGTGGGTGGTTCCCTCGGTGGCCACAAATCGACTCATCCAAGCCAGCTCCACCCCAAGACCCCAATCCCCCTCTCCCTCCCCCACATCGCCACCTCAGCTCACCACATCGGTTCCGTGCTCGACACAAAGCGCCCGGGGCCAAGCCGCCAGACGACCGAGAGGCTGTTGACAAGAGGAGAGTGCCGTCGCCCCCACCTCAGGCAAGGCCGCTCATGCAGCAGCAGGAGGGAGGAGATGGTGATGGTGACGGCAGGAAGCAGATGATGATGTCTCAGGCTCTCTGGTGAGCTGGGCATGGGGTCACACACACAGACAAGGGGATTGATTGAGACACATGGACGCATGCTGTGCTATGCTGTGTTTGAGTGCAGGCCGCCTTCCCCTCCCTCTCCCTCTCCCTCCCCCACCGCTGTACAGATGGCAACCAAATCGCCTGAGCGGACGCACACAGACAGCCAAAGGCCACATGATACCAGCACGCCGCCGCTCCCACCATCGCAGTCAGCTGGCGATGCTGTGGCCGACACGGCCTTGCATGTGCATAATGATGATGGTGGGGAAGATGAGAAAGAGATGGGCGGAGGGGACAGGGGAGACGAGGGGGGTAAGAAGGTGCATGTACTGTCGCATGCTGACTTCCTCTGACTTACCGATAATATTGTATGGGTACGTTTGTAATGGGGGGTACACTCGACGGGAAATCGACGTTAATTGCACATGATGGTCTCAGTCCACAAGCATGCACAGACACAGACATATACACACACGCACACCCAAAGCAGCTAAAGCGACGCTGTACACAAATGAATGTATGCATGGTCTCATGTTGAGTAGCCTGCACTCTCAAGGATTGCATGCAGCCTCCCCACCCCGCCATCTGCTGCATGTGTGTCGATCAGATATTCATTCGCCCAGAAGTCTGCTCTCCCGCCCCCTCTGCATCGCTTGGCCTCTTTGAGTCTCTGCATCGCCTCTGCCTCTCGGGTCCATAACATAACTGCTGACCCGGTGCACTGACGTCTCTCTCTGTGTCCATTCACCAGCCGCCGCTGCACCAGCACCGCCATGGGAAAGAGATAGAAATGGTGATTTTCAGGCAGAGAGGCAGCCAGCAGGTCGAAGTCTGCTTCATCGTACAGCTGAGTGGCCTTGTTGCCGGCGCTCTTCTGGAGGATAACAAGATGTGAGCCGTTGTTGACGTGATGAAGGATGGCTGTCTTGTGCTGAATGAGGAATCGCTTCCCATTCCACCACCAGATAGCATCGACGGGCGTCATCTCGTAGATGAGCTCCTGATGGACCTCAACACCAGCAGCAGAGAGCAGAGGAGCCCATGCGGCAATGGATGCCTCGCCCTTCTGGCTCGTCTCCGACCGCTGCAGTATGATGTTATCCAGTGAGTCTTTGGCAAAGAAGGTGTCCTCATAAGCCAACAGCAGCTTGTGAGCCAGAGATGCCGGGCCCTCAAGTGCCGTTGAGCATCGGAAGCTCTAATGGTTCCACTGCCCGTTCTCGTACACGGAAAGATGACAGCACTGAATGCGCATCTTCAGCATGGATCCGTCATAGCACCAGATACGAAAGTCCGAAAGAGCCACACAGACGACCGGCATGCCGGGATACTTGTGCACCCAATTGAAGTGCCAGCAACCATTGCTGTTCTGTTCTTTGCACGACTTGACTTGGACCGGCAGCCACAAATCCTCATCCACGCCCAAAGGCCGCACAGCCACGTCAGCATGAGCGCCCTCCCAGGTCCTCTGCACCTCAACCATCGCCTCAGAAGATCCATCACACATTGCACGCCTGTGTTGGCGACAAGTCGATTTCGTTTTTTCTCCCATCGCTGCAGAAGAACATCGGGTGGGAGTCCAGAGAAGAGCCGTCGAGGCAAAGAAGGCGGCTGAAATGGCGCGGCGAGGGGATAAAGAGTGGACGGACGGCATCCCGGCAGACGACGAGGATGCCAGGAAGCGACACCCGCCGTCATGCGAACTCGCGGATGCCATGAAGGCGGTTGCAATGGCGAGAAACGGACAAGATGCATCCTGGAGGCAACTGCGGTGGATCGGCGGGGCACTAACAGACGACGACAGGCGGATAAGAGGCCCATTTGCATTGCTGAAATCATCCTCACATGCGAGCTTTCCTTCCATTTTGCGAGCTTTGAAAGAGAAGACGGCGGCAACGCTCTAGGTGAAGGGGTGTAGAGAGGTGATCATGGCGATTTGATTTGATGGCGTGAATGGGTCTGATGGACCGTCGTCAGGCGAGCAGGTTCACACTAAGGCAGGCGCTCCAGAGTGAAGAGCTACGCAGGTGAGTATGGATGCACATGACAGCTGGCCGCACTCAATTCATTGTGTTGTGCTGTGATGCATCTCTCTTTCTGTCAGCTTGGCTGCCGACGTTCGGTAAGGAAGGAACCAAGTACCCACATGAATGATGCATACACAGACCAAACACAGACCAAAGATGTGTTTGGCACTTTGCAGCGCTTTTCGTCGGCAGCTCAACTCGTGGCGCGACCCTTCCCCGCCCCCCTCCCCTCCCCGCACATCAGCACGCTCCACACCGGCTCCCGCACACCCGCTGCCATTCCCCTCACCACCCAGTCCGCCCAATCGCAGCCCGCCACGGCCGTTGCTGCGAGGGAGGACGCCTCATCCAAGGCTGCATCGGCTTTATGCTGACACATCTGATGAGTCGAGTTGCGACGAGGACCCGCTTCTAAGTGGTCCGGGGCATCGGCATCGGCAGCAGCGGCAGCAGCGCCATTTTGGCGACGGTCTATCGGACGTGTTCTCCTCGCCCAAGCAGGGCTACGGCGACGCGCAAACCGGCAGGGACCCTGTGCTGTCGCCCGCTGTGCCTGATGATGTCTTTCCTCGGCCAAGGACGCCTGACTTTGCCGCTGATGATGGTGGAAGTGGGAATGGTGGCGGTGAGAGGGATCCATCGCCGGTGCGGCCAACAGCTGCTGCTGCTGCTATTGGTGGCATTCAAGTCGGCCCTGTGGGTAATCGGTTTGACGTCAAGTTTGATGGCGAGCTGAGGACGGAGGGATTGGGGGAGGGCGGACAATCATACGTCTATCGGCTCTCTGTTGGCGGCGTGGCTGAGTTGGCAGCCCCGCCTCCACACCAGCCTGAAGCTGCCAACAGTCACACGCCAGCACGAGCACCAACACAGGCACACGAGTCCCCCTCCCCTGCTCGAAGCCACCTGTCGTTCCAGCAACTGCAGGGCACCGACAGCCCTGTCCGACACATCCATCGCATCCCCACACCATCAGCATCATCTGGGCTGCCGGCCGTGTCTGTGACCCCGAGGCTGGTGTGTCAAAGCCCACCCAACAATGCCGAGGGCGGCCGGGTTCCCAGACCGACCAGGAGTGCCCTCGGTGGGCTGTCGAGTGCTCGGCTGGTGGGGAGGGAGAGTGGGGGAGGGGGAGGGGGGCAGATGGTAGACCAGGAGCAGAATAAGGACTCTCAGGTGAGATGCACGATAGACAGAGCCATGGGTGCACGGACGGCGACTGACTCATTCTTGTTGTTGTCTTCTTTTCAGGAGCCGCCGGCCTTCGCCGCATCGCCGGAGCCCTCCGCTGCGCCGTCGCCCCCTGCCCCTCGTCCACAGGACCACCCACACCCAGCAAGTGACGCTGATCGCACCCAGCCTGCATCTGCAAGCGCTGCTTCGCCATCCCCAGAGCCGCCTCGATCTCAGAGTCAGAGCCCGGCCGTGAGAGAGAGGGGAGGAGATGGCGGTAGTTTGTCTCCTGGTGGCTCACAAGCGGAGGATGTCGAGAAGAGGGTCGAGCCAGTCACCCCATCCCCCAGCCACCCTTATTCCTCCCTCTCACCCTCTCCCCTCGTGCCAGCCGACGACCGACACACACCCCACCCCACTCCCACGCCCTCGGCATCAGCAGCAGCCGCAGCAGCACGTGTGGACGCCGGTCCGTCCCCCTCATCTGTGTATGGCTACCTGAGTGTGAGTGACACCGACAGCAGTGGTGCTGTGATGACGATCCAGCCGCACACGGCCAGGTCGGACCACTATGGCTACACCGACACCAACACCAACACCAACACCGCGTCGGACAAGAGCAGCGCCATGCTGCCGTCACAGTCACAGCAGCACGCACGAGAGAGGCCATCTCGGCTGGTGCCAATCGACAGCAACACCACCCCCAGGACGCCCGAGCGGTCGCACCCCACTTATGACGACCTTGAAGCCCGGTTCTGGCACACATGGCCTACAGGGGTGGGAGCGGGAGAGGGAGAGGGGGAGGGAGAGGGAGAGGGAGGGGAGAGCCCCACCGACACTGCTGACCTTCCCATCGACGACGAGCCGGCCGCTTTGCCCGTCGCCCATATTGCGGCGTGTGCATCGGCAGCGGCATCGTCGCATGTCAACGTCAACTCGCCGCAGCTGACGGTGCGTTTGAGGTCAGCCCGCAGCCCGCCATTGCAGGGGGACCCTCACGGCCCCCCATCGAGCGCATCGGAGAGCCCCATGAATGCGGCCGGCGTAACCTCCAGCATCCCAGATCCTGAGGGGACCATCGGCACTGACGACCATGGCCATGATGTCACAGTGGTAGTGGTGCCTGCGGCCACTGCACCATCACCAGCATCGGCAATGGACCAGCCGCCCAAGGCCGACCGTGGGCTGTGGGATAGCGACAGCTGTCTGTCTATCTATTCCCATTCGGACGTGTCAGCTTCGGCGGCATCCCTGACGCCCGAGAGGCCTCGATCATCCCATGTGGGCAGTCTCTCGCTGTCGCCCTCTGTCGGTGTGTCGCCGTCGCCCTTCGCCCGGCGGACAGTTCCCTCCTCACACAACGAGCCGCAGACAGCCTCTGCTGCCAAGTCGCCCTCTGTGCTGTCCGTCATGTCGGTATTCGACTCGCCCTGCCAGCAGCAGCAACAGGGAGAGGATGTCAAGGCGGAGAGAGATGTGGTGGCCCCTCTCAGCCCACCATCAGCATCAGCAGCAGCTGACCACGGCAACGGCAACAGCGATGCCGACACATCCCGCCCTGTGTGTGAGCCGAAAGCGACGCAGAGCACGCAGATCGGCCCAGCTGACTCGCCATCGCAGCCGTCCCTGCCGCCCTCTCTGTCATCTCCCATGCTGCCGGCGTCGTCGGAATATGCGGCCATCCATCGGCAATTGACGTGCCTAATGCCGCGGCTGGCGGCTGTGGAGAGAATGGTGGCTCGGCTGGGGAGGGGGGGAGTGGGTGTGAGGGTCCATGAGGTCGCTGACAAGGAGGAGAGGGCAGAGGCGAGTACGGGTGTGGGTGTGGGTGTGGGTGTGGGTGGTGTGAGCGAGTCGGCGTGCTGGAGTCTGTGGGCGAGCATCACTGATCGACTGCTGACAGTAGAAACGGCCCTACAGGTACACACACACACACACATGGATGGATGGATGGATGGACGTGCGAGTGTGTGGTGGATGGATGCCGTGTGTGCAGGAGTTTGGTGTGCGTCTGGCCCGCCAGCAGCCCGTGAGGACGGCAGCAGACACCAAGGCACCTGACGGCAATGATTCGTACAAACAACAGGTACACGTGCGTGTGGGGAGCGGCGCGCCGAGACGATTTTTGTTGGGGGTTTTCTGGTTGGCTGTCAGGTGCTGCGCGAGTACTGCTATGGGGAGGACAGAAGGCTGCATACACAGCTCAATCAGCAGGTACCACACACACACACACAGAGAGACAGATAGAGAGAGAGAGGGAGAGATCCGGAGGCCGTCTGTGTGTGATATTCAATTAGGTGGTTGAGGTGCGGCGTGTGTGTGACGGTGTGTGGCAGCGGCTCACTGCCTCTGTGGCGGCCTGACCGATGAATGTATGTGTGTGTATCATAGCATATGGTGTGTGGGCTGGAGGCCTGACTGCATCATGTGATGCAGAGGCTGGTACGAGAAGACAGAGAGGGGTGCTGTGCTGGAATGACGGATGAATGTGTGTCTGCCGAGTTGTGAATGTGCGCACTCACACGTACTGACATGACATGACGCATCTGTGGGAATGAGAGTAAGTCTGTTCCGCCTCGTCAACACGTGTGTTGAATGAGCATCCATCCGCTTGTGTGTCAGTCTGTCTGTGATCTCCTCGACGGCCACCGCACACAGAGAGCGAAGATCAACACTCACTGTGTCAGATAGATGGCCTTCGAGCTCATGACAGTCAGCACACCAACACACAATGCACACCAAAGCGAAGCAAACAAGCCCCTCCCAGAGTCTCTTCCACTAAACCGCCGCGCGATCCGGTATTTCTCTCTCTCTTCTTTTCACCCAAATGAGAGAAAGACAGGAGGAAAACGACAAACCAGACAGACAGAGAGGGAGGAAATTCATCCAATTCATATGCCCCACCAGCAGCAATCGGCTGTCTTTACTTCCTTTGTGGCCATGTGACGTGCGTGTGGACAGTGTCTGTCTGTCAGCCGCTCGACGGCCACCGCACACAGAGAGTGAGGATGAACACTCACTGGGTGAGATTGCCTACGAGACCACAACAGTCAGCACACCGACACACGGTGCCCACCAAAGGGAAGCAAACAGAGCCCTCGGATTTCTCTCTCCTTCCCACACACAGCAACCGAAGCAAAGAGACCTCTCTCTCCCTCACTCTCTCCCGCACAGACACATCCAGCGTCCATTTATTTGCGAATGCATTGGCCACCCACCCACACCACAGAGAGAGACACAGAACGGCACACATCCATGTGTGTGGGTGTACAGTACAGAGGGACACATTCGCTGCCATGTACAGTCATGACACACAGACGGAGACGTCCACAGTGTGGGATGGGGAAGCAGCAGTGTGTGTGTCCATTCTGCATGCATTCGACAACCCCCGCTGTGGGCATCTGTGTCGCCGCCCGGCAACCCCAAAGCACCGACACCACACATGGGCTGATGCTCTGTCGAAAGGGGGAGGGCTTAGGGTTTAAGAGGGCTTAGGGTTTAAACCCTAAACCCTACACACAGATGGCGACGGGGGTGGATGGTAGACAAGCGTGGGTGACAAATGGGTGACACATGTGGATGGATCCAACCACGGACAGATCGACCACTTTCTACGCACGCCTCGTGGCTGGCTTTCTTCCTTTCTTCCTTTCTTCTCTCTTCCGCTTACGTGATAGATAGCTTTGGCTCAGGCTCGTCGATGTCGATCGGAGGAGTCCCCTCGATGAAACGAAGTCAGCCGTTGCCAACGGCTTCGCGGTCGTGACGGCTTCCGGGCCCCTCTCACCGTTGGAGAACAGCGGAGGGAAGCGGCGTCTCTCTTCCTCTTCCTCCGCCTCCCCTTCGCTGCCATTATGATGGGAAGATTGTCGTCTTGTCTCGCGTTGGTGCTCCTCGTCTTCTCAGGTGGACACACAGACACAAGAACACGCCACAGCTAGGCGCTGCACACTTACATATGTACATATGCTGGCTGCCTGTCATGCTGGATGTCATATGTATTGTGCCAGCCTTGCTGCCCGAGCCCTCGGTCGCCACTTCCGCCGCCGTCACTGGCACTGATGAGGGCCAGCCGCCGCCCAGCGAGTCGAAGCAGCCTGACGTGTCCTCCTTGTGCGACTGCTCGACCTTCACCAGCCGCCACTTGGGTGATCTCTCCGCCCCCAAGAGATCTCCCAAGTGGTTCGTCGCAACCGAGTCGCCCGTGTGCGCGACGAGCCACACGGATGGCGTCATCGACGGCATCACCTTCGCCTCCCCCTGCCTCGCGCTGTGTCAGCAGCAGCACATCCGCCACCGAGGCAGCTGTGGAGACATCGGCAATGGGGCCTTCAAGCTGTCGGAGGACTTCTCCTTCGTCAGCCTCGCTGACATCCGCAAGTCCAAGGCCAAAGACCGGCAGTTGACGCCGGCGGTCGTCCATCGCTTCCGCTCTGACGGCTACGTGTTCGTCGGGCGCGTCACCGGCGGGACAAACCCGAAAGACCTGGTTGACGAGGATGACGAGAAGGACGAGGAGCCGGAGCCTCGCAAGTATCGGGACGTGACGATTGTGCCGGGGGGGTACACTTACGCTCGTCTGCTGGCCAGCAACGACGAGGAGGTGCGCCAGAGGCTCATGGACAAGGGAATGCACGACGAAGACCAAGGTGGGTCAGCAGGCAGGCAGCCAGGCAGGACGCCACGCCCGCATCCATATACCTTGATTGCTTGAGGCATTCCCTCTGTTCGCTCCCTGCGTTGCTTCCCAGGCATCCGTGAGGGCAATGCGTCGCTCCCGACCGACTGGCCGATAAGGCCCAGGCCCGCCCCCCACAGTGACTTCTCTCGCAGCGCCTTCAACATGACCACCCCGGCTCGAGAGAAGTGTGTGCTGGGCCGCGACGGCCGCACCATCGGAGCGGCGCAGGTGAAGTATCCCTGGTGTACTTTCGGCTTTCTGGATGTTGATGCACCCAAAGGTGGTACGCGCTGCAGCGGCATAGTTGCGGGCAGCGCCATTACAGGCATGACCGCCGCCCACTGCTTCACCAACCGCAAGCGGGGAGGCGGCAACGTCTTCGTAGAAAGCTTTGTAAGTAACTCAGCCAGTCAGTCAGTCAGTCAGTAAGACAGAAGACGGACCACCGACCATCCATCGAAGGATCGCTGCTTGTCTGGTCTCTACTTGTCTGGTATGTATGTATGCGCGGACGAGTGCGTCTCTCTCGCTTATCTGCTGACGATGAAGAGAGCGAAGTTCTGCCCCGGCCAGAGCGGCTCCGAGCGTCCTTTCGGCTGCGTTGACGTCGTCCGCATTAAGGTGCCCGACAAATGACTGAGCAGTGGCAGGCGGCAGAGGCGCCAGTACGATTGGGGTGTCGTGACCTTCAATGTGGTCATGAAAGCCTTTGTGCCGATTGGGAGCTTTTGCTCGCCTTTCCCCTTCCCCCCCTCCAGGATCAACGTATGGGTGCTCTCCTACCCTTCGCTCCCCGACGACTCAGACCGCGAACGAGTCTATTGCGAGAATCGAGGTAGGTGGGGGCAGGCAGGCAGGCAAAGTGCATGAATGCATGCTTTTCTCAATTGACTGTGTGGTCGTACCGACAGATGACTTCAACATCCGATGCAACCGGGCCGGCTCTAGGCGGACGCGGCTGAGCGTGAGGCATGCATTTGACGGGAATCCTGGATCAAGCGGCTCCGGCATGATCGAGTTCCGCAACGGCTACTGGTGGCTGCGGGGGGTGGACAACGCTTTCTTTGCTCCCGGTGGCCGATGCCAATACAACATTGCTGCCAGGATGACCGGCAGGAATTCGCTACAGGTGAGAGACATCATCGCAAGGCAGTCATCGTGAATTCGGTCATCGTGAGTGATGCATATGGGCGGGTGGGGAGGCGGGCAGCCAGTGTGCATGTGAGCGGGCGATGTATGTCCAGAGACAGGCCAAGTTTTTGACTTTTGTCTCGTCTCGCGTGTATATACTGAGCCAGTGTCCGTACGTGCGCATAATCCAGCTGCCCACATGGGTTGACATCTGTACTTGCCTTCTCTGTCAGCGAGAGCCCCCCTGTGTGTGGCTGCTGTGCTGTCCTGTGTGTGCTGCGGCTGGCTGGCTGGCTGGCTGGTTGCCTGATTGCAGAACACACGTGTATGTCTGTCTGGGGAGCGAAAGGGGGACGATTGTCATCGCACGTACATACTTCGGTGAGCGGGGGCTCTCTGTCTGCCAGAGAGACACCTCCCTATGTCTGGCTGGCTGTCAATTTTGGTGCGTACGATGGTCTGCTCGCCTCTGCTCTGATGTTGCATGAACGGAGGCGCTGCACATTCCCGCTCATGCATGCCTGTGTGATGGGATGTAATCCACGGAGGAATTTTCCTTCCCCACCAGTGACATGTGCACGCGTGGTGGTTTGGCTTTATGGTTAGGTAAAAAATAGATGGATAGATCCATATACATCATATGGCCGCTTCTCTGTCCGCCCATTTGTCGCAGTTGCGTATGTATCGGAGACTTGACATTTGTTCGTAGGTTTGTGCAGCCAGGTAGCTAGATGGTTAGATTGCCACCCATTTGTCACCCACGCTTCTGACGCGGGACCTGACGGGTTAGGGTAGGGTTTCAAACCCTGAACCCTGTGATGGGGCGCTGTGAGAACCATCACAGGGTTTAGGGTTTAGGCGCGGCGCTTTGTGGGGTGGTTGGGCAGCTCTGCGCAGCACATTCGGCCGAGAGAACGGCCAAATGAATCACTCGAGCCATTGTCTGATCTGTCCATCTGAGCATCGAACGAGGTGAGCAGCACACAGATCTGTGAGCAGCATGCTTGATGGACATGATCCTCTGTCGGCTCTGTCGCTCTGTGCAGCCTTCTCAGCTGCATTCACATTGGCCCTGCTGTCTGTCGTGTTGCAAGTGTGAGTGCGTGTCGTAATGACGACTCCCATTCGACTCGATGTCGGCGGCAGAATGTTCCACGTGGCCAGGACGACCATTGAGCGGCACCCACAAACACTGCTGGGGCAGCTGGTCACCAACGAGCACACTGCCGAGTATCGGCGCATCCAACATGACCTGCCGGTAGGACACACGTGCAGAAAGGTAGAAGCTACAGGTCTGTGACAGGCCGAAGCGCTTGTGTGGTGTTGTGAGAGTCAGGTCTTCGTCGATGCTGAGCCCTCCCTGTTTCCCTACATCATGCAGTTCTACCACCACGGCCTGCCCATTCACGTGGAGGCATCGGTCAACAAGGAGGCGCTGCTGCGCGAATTCCGCTACTTCGGCATCAACATCGGCAAAGAGGCCATCCGGCTGCCTGAGCGCCCGAAGGGGGAGGTGATGCAGCAGCTAGCCAAGATGGTTGTCGAAATCATTGCCGACGGGGAAGAGCACGACTACTGTGCGGTTCTTCGGGAGGCCGGCACTTACATGGGCCCTGAGGCAGCCGATTGTGCAGAATCGATCATCACCAACAGCAGGGAGAGGCTGCTGTTGGAAGACATGATCGTCAGCCATTTCCACAAGGTACTGCCACCCGAGGAGAGCCTCTGGAAGGATGTCAGGACAACCGGCATTGATAGTAGTGGGATAGGGAGCACGGCGAGAGTGCAGATCGTTGATGCGTGACGCATGGAGGGATGGACGGACGGATGGATGGATGGATGGGCGGTGTGGCTGGCTGAACCAAGAGACCTCGTTTCGTGTGTGTGTGTGTGTGTGTGTGTGAAGCTGTTAATACGTAGATCTGTTGTGCTATGTCAGCGAGACTTGATAAAGAAAACGGTTGGTGCTTATCCGGTCATCCGGTCAGTCAGTCAGTCAGTCTACACCAGTCAGTGTACGCAGCACGCACGCACAAATGCACACCGAACGGACAAAAATACAAATACGGCCGATCGATCGATCGATATCTCTCCGCCCTCAAATCATCTCCCATTCTCACCCTCACAGCCACACAATGACTGAGGGCCCTACACTCACTGCCTCATACCCTAATGAGCCTCACGGTGCCATCCGTCAGCCCCAGCATCAGGTGGTGCGGCCCCACCATTATCCCGTCCAGCACAAACCGCGACGCCGCCGACCGGCCCGTCACGGCGTGTGCAAGGCTCGTGAAGCCCTGGGCGAGCCCGACAGTGGTGGAGGCCCCTGCGGTGGTCACCGACAGCATGGCGGCCGTGGCGCTGGTGGGGGGCTGTTGGCTGCCGGTGTTTGAGGTGGCTGATGTGGCCGTCTGGGGGTAATTATGGGTGGGGAGGCAGAGGAGTGGCGTGGGGGCGGTCAGGGGGGCCTTCTCGATGGCGGGCATCGGCATGAAGGGCGACTCGCTGATGAGCTCGATGGACGGGCTCGACAGGTCCCACACACGCACCTGCAATCAACGAATCAACACACGCCCATTCACACACACACACACACACATTGGTCCGACGCTCTCTCTCTCTCTCTCTCTCTGTGGGTGTGTGTCTGACCATGGCGTCCCCGTTGACAGTGACGAGCCTCTGCGTCTCTTCGACCACAAAGCAGCGCACCACGGGGTTGTTCCCAGCAGCGGCCGAAGACAAGGGCGGTGTGATGGATCTGTCAAACCTCTCCACCCCCGCCCCACCCACACCGCCAGCTGTCTCGCCAACTTTGACGTTCCCCCCGTCAGAGGCGAAGGCGTGAAAGGGCCGCATGGTGCGCAGGTCGAAGATGCGGACCTCCCCTTTCTTGCCGCCTGTGACGAGCCGCTGTCGGGATGTCCACAGGGCGATGTCGTAGGCCCCGAAGTTCTTGCCATCCGGGTGGCCCTTGTCCATCCCCACCAGCAGCGGGAGACGAGTGGTGGTCGACACACCACTCATTGCCGCCTGACTGTCGTCCGATGCACCTGCATCAGCAATGGACAGACAGACAGACGGAGAGAGGGAGAGAAATGGCGTGTTTCTCTTTCTCCCTCCCTCCCTCCCTCGTTGTGTGCTGCACACCCACCTGTCTTGTTGCCGGGCGCCAGTGTGTCCCAGATACACATACACGCATCCTCAAGCGGACCCTTCTCCCCACCCCCACTCCCCCCACCCACCCCCACAGGCGGCCCCCCCCTCCCCCCCGTAGCAATCACGCCCCCTGCCGGCG